TGGCTTTGTGACCTAATATATGATTAAGTTTGACTGAAAAGTTAAGTATATTCAGCTGTTATTGGACAATAATAATCTGTAGGTGTCTATTAATCTGTTTATATCTTGTGTGTTTTTGATTTTCTGTCTTGATGACCTGTCTGCTAGTGAGAGTAATATTTGAAGTCCTCTACTATTACTACATTGGATCCTGTCAGTCCACTTATGTTGAATAAAGTTTGTTTTATGAAAATGGTTCACATATTTGAGGCATATTTACAATTATTATATCTTCTTTTTGATTATTCCACTTACTAATATGTAATTTCCTTTGTCAGTTCTAATTTTGGCTTGAAGTCTACTTTATCTGTTATGAGAAATTCTACCCTTGCTCACTTTCATATTCTATTTGCAAGAAAAATCATTTTCCACCCTTTTACTTTCAATCTGTGAACAACTTTGCCTATGGGTGTGTTTCTTGGAAACAACATAGAGTTGGCTCTTCCTTTTCACTTCAATCAGTCACTGTATCTTTTAATTACAGAATTAAGACCATTTATACTCAATGTTATTGTAGAGAAGTATACCATTTTGTTTTACTTCTAAAGTTTTAGTCTCTCTAATTCACATTTGCTAATCTATTCTTCTAATATTTTATGTTTTACTCTTTCTCATACTCTTTTACTTTCCTCCTGTGTTTCGGATTTTATACAATCTTGTATTTTATACAATCTTGTATTTTATACAATCTTTTTTTTATTTCTCTTTTTATTTATTTATTTGCATTCAATGGGCTTTTCTACAATACAATTACTCTCAGGTTTAAAACAGAACCCAAAAATCAAGTCATTTCACATTTTTTTCTTTAGTAAGAATTTTTTCCTGCATAAGTTGTTTGATGTTTCAAAATGTTACTGTATCAAGCAAAGGTTTTCCCACATTGTTTACATTCACAAGGCATTTCTCCAGCATGAGTTCTTTCAAGTAAATAAAGGTGACTCAATGTAGTGAAGGATTTCCCACACTGCTTCCATTAGAAAGGCTTCTCTCTAATATGAGTTAATTCACACATTTGAAGGTAAGCAGAAGTACTGAAGGCCTTCCCACATTGTTTATGACCACAAGGCTTTTCTCTTTTATGAAATTGTTCATGTATGTGAAGGCAAGAGGAACTACTGAAGGCTTTCCCAATTGTTTACATCCATCGGGCTTTTCTGAAGAATGAGGTCTTTCATGTCTGTGAAGGTGAGAAGACCTATAGAAGGCTTTCTTCCATTATTTACATCCATAGGGTGTTTTTCCTTTATGAGTTCGTTCATGTGAATGAAGCTGACTGGATCTACCAAAGACTTTTTTACATTGTTTACATTCATAGAATTTTTCTCAAGTTTGAGTTTGTTTATGTATTTAAATGTAAAGGAAGTAGTGAAGACTTTTCCCAATTATTTACATTAATAGGGCTTCTCAACAGTGTCACTTTGTTTACGTCTTTGAAGATAAGAAGAAGTAGTGAAGGCTTTACCACATTACTTACATTCATAGGGCTTCTCTCCAGTATGAGTTCGTTTATGTTTTCGAAGGTAAGAGGAACTTCTGAAGGCTTTCCCACATTGTTTACATTCATAGGTCTTCTCTCCAGTATGAATTCGTTCATGTTGCAATTGGTAACTCAAACAAACAAAGGCTTTCCCACATTGTTTACATTCATAGGGCTTCTCTCCAGTATGAGTTTGTTTATGTCTTTGAAGGTAAGAGGAACGACTGAAGGCTTTCCCACATTGTTTACATTCATAGGGCTTCTCTCCAGTATGAGTTCGTTTATGTCTATGGAGGTAAGAGGAACAACTGAAGGCTTTCCCACATTGTTTACATTCATAGGGCCTCTCTCCAGTATGAATTTGTTTATGTACTTGACGGTAAGAGGAATGATTGAAGGCTTTCCCACACTGATTACATCTGTAGATTACCTCTCCAGTATGAGATTGTTGGTATTTTTGAAAATATATGGAACAACTGCATTCTTTTCCACATGTCAGACATTCATAAGATTCATTTACAGTGTGCACTGATGCTTGTCTTTGAACACTTGTACAAGAAATTAAAGATGTTTTGTTCAGTTTAAGATTATATGGCTTCCCTCCATTCTCCTCATTCTTACATGCTTTCTTTGCAGAGTGAGATATAACGTGCCTTAGATCTCTCCTGGGATTTCTGTTCTCATCTTCCCATTTGTCTCCATTTCCTGCCTTCTGGGGAGTCCTGGCATCCTTCCTGTGGACCTCATAGCATCTTCAGGTCACAGGGCGACAGATCTGAGCCAGAGCCATTTGGGCCTCACACAGCAGAGAAGACACAGTCCTGGAGATGGATTCTGACCATTTGGGGCCTTTGGAGTGACCCGCCGTTCTCCGGAGGGACGACTCGGGACTCGCGGGACACAGGCAGCGCGGACTCACCTGGGACTGGTGGGCAGTGGATGCCCAACCGGAGGAGGAAAGAGAAGACAAGGTTCTATTTTATACAATCTTGTCTTAATGCCCATATATTCCTTTGGTTTATGCTTTTCTTGGGAAGTTTAATTTCTCCTTTGATCTTTAATTATAATAGTTCTGCATGTGGTAATCTAGGTTGGCAGTTACTGTATTTTGAGCTTAAAATACATTATTCCATGCCATCCTGTCCTTTAGAGTTTCTGCTGAGAATTCTGCTTTTATTCTGATAGGTTTGCCTTTATAATTGACTTGAAGCTTCTCTTTTGCAGATTTTAATATGATTTCTATATTTCAAATATTTGCATTTGAATTATAACATGAAGAATTTCTTTGTTGGTCAAATCTATCTGGAGTACTAAATGCAACCAATACCTATATGTCCACCTCATTCCCAAAATTAAAGAAATATTCTGCTACTCTTTCATTTAATGTCTTCTATGCTGTTAGTCTGCATTTCCCCTCCTTCTTCAAGACTTATGAGTCTTAACTTTGGTCTTTTAATTTTCTCCCAAAACACTTGTATATGCTGTTCATAACGTTTTTCCCTTTATTACTGTCAGAATATCCTAATTTGTCCATCTTGACTTTGAACTCTGCTATCCTTCCGTATATTTATCTCATTAATGAACTTTTCATTGAGCTTTTTATTCGACTGAGTTTTTCCTTTCCAAGATTTCTGTTTGGTTCTTTCAGAATCATTATTTCTGCATTGAAATGTTCTTGCATATCCTGTATTTTCTTCCTCAGTTCACTCCTTAGATCTTCTTTTAATTCATTAATCAACAATCAACTTGTGAATGCTTTGTTCACATTTCTGCCACATTGATATCTATGGGTTCAGTTATTCAAAATTTATGAACTATTAAAGGTATCTTATTACATTGTGTTCCCATGTTTCCTATATTTCAATTTTGAGATTTGTTCATATGCTGGCAAATTTGATGAATTACTGTTAATAATCAATATTATTATCTCGTCATTTAGAAGGCTGGCTACTCTGCAGTTGCATAGTGACTTTGACAGTCATTAGGTCTTTGACTTCCAACAATTACTGTCTTCAATAAAAACATTCCCCCGATATATCAAAGTCTTTTAAAGCTAGTATTGTCTTAACATGAAGAAAAAACATGTTTTATACGATAAGATTTTATAATACTAAAGAGTTTCAGAGGTTCTGAAAATAATTTTGACATACAGTTATTAATTTTTTCTATTCTTATGATAAGTAGACACAAAATATTATCTCAACTTTGGAAAACACAAACTCTTGAAAGCATTAGCAAATTTACTTACTATAAGCTAAATACTGAAGCAATGAAAAGTAGCACCAAATCTGGCACTTAAACTTTTATTATGTATTGTATCTACACAAATTTTTTATGTGAAAAAGAATAAAAGCATAGAGAAAAAACTTCAAGAACTATGAAGATTAAAAGACTTCTTCAAGAGACCTTGATATGGATATGTATTTGTTATTTGATTGTGCTTGATGATAGAGACAGTACTAGAACTTCAAAGAACTCATTTCTCTGCATCATTTCTTGGTGACCACATATTAAGTGTAGTCAATAATACACTAAAAGACTTTGAATTCTTCTCTCTATCAAAGCCAAAACTTGATAAATCAATAGTGGTGCAATAAATAACTCAAGAGAAGAAAGAGAAAACAAACATAGTTTAATTTCAACTTAAAATGGATCTTCAAGCTGGCAATATGACTGATTCTTAAGACAATAAAATGCAAAGGAAGTCTGCATGGATCTCAGGCTCTCCAAAGATTCGTATTTACCTAGCAAGTTATTCCTGCTTTATATTTTCATTTAAACTTCTGGGGGGGAAATGTTTTATTCATCCTGTTTTACTTTATTTCTTCATATTCTCATAATAATTCATTACAACAATTTGCTTGTTTAGTGATAATACCTTAGTAAATTATTATTGAAACCTATTGTTCCTATTTTCTATCTAGTTTTTATATAAAATATCATAGTGATTTATCTCTATTAACAGAGAAAGTTATTCAGAATAAGAATAATATTACTAATAGCTGACACAATTCCAATTTTAAAAATCAAAATTATTTTTGGAATTTTAAACTCTCAAATATTTATCTTTTTATATTATCTTCTTTAGTGATATTTGACAAAAATCAACTTAATTCTGTTAACTGGCATAATGTGTTTCTCATATAGTACTGATTTTCCAAACCTGGGTAACACGTCTTTCTCTTTTAACACCTTTCTCATAAAAGTTTCACACTTTTCATGTAATAAAATGCTACATGATTTTACCAGCTTTAGTTAGTAAAATTATTCTTGATAAAATTAATAAATACAAAGCCCCAGATTAGTCTTCTTATATTTGAGAAAAAAGGCTTAAATATTTCATTAAGTATTTTGGCTTTTGGTATTTAATTTCCTTACAAGCTTAAAAGAGGCATGATAAATATAAATGTGGGTTTACAATCATCTATTCTAATGGAAGCCTTAGAATTATCCCCAAAACCTTAAAAGAATAATCTAGACTTACCTGGGCCATCAATCGTTTTATCCAGGCACCGAGGAGTTGCACTAAGAAATGAGGCATGTTTTCTTTTAGCCACCAAATTACGAGGTGGCATGTATTTATGCTTAAGTTGAGACATCTCATATGATTTTTGAACATCATAGCTGCCTGGTGCTGGAATAACCTAGAAAAATATTAATACTTTATGTACTTGACATGAAATATAAATAACCATACTTTATATTTATTTCATATAATCTATTAATAAGGTATATCATTTATTTGAAATATACTTTATATAAATATATCCAAATAGATATTCAAGCAATGGTATTAATTTCTTTAATTAATCATTAAAATAAAAATGCTAAAGAGGATTCCCAAATCTATATTTTCATAATAAAATGTGTAAACTCACTTGTCAGTAATTATGGTAAAATAAAAATAATTGTGAAATTTAGGGACAAATTCTTTTATAAAAATAACCAAAGTGATATTGATCAAACTCTCATTAAAATTTAATAAAAAAATAAAATTTCAGACAAAAATAAGAACATTGATTATATGTTTTCATAACCAGCAAAACTATTTCTGCTTTACTGTTCTATGTGAACATATTCTAAACAATGAAAACTTATTTTATTTTTAATGGATTTCAAATTAAAAGGCTTCCCATTTTATCACTTACAGTTCTTCAAATGATCTGCAGTTACATTAATATTTTAATCAATGTAAACCAACATAGATATTAATTATAATAATATTAAAATAAATTAGAAAATATATACATATGTTATATATTTGTTGCACATTTAATACCTTAAACCATTAGCTAATTATTTCAATGAAAACTTTTTAAAACTAATTTTTCCTCAAATTATTTTAAAATAGAATATTATTTTAAAATCTGTTCACCTATATTATGTATAAAAGTCAACATTTTTTAAGTTTTCATGATTTCCTTGGCAGACATGAAAATGTTATGGCTGAGTCTAAGGACCCTACCATTATATTTCCAGGTTACCAAATATTCACTAATTACTAACTATGCTCAAGACCTGAGGCAAACCACTTAACTTTTGTAATCCTCAGTTTCCTCATCTAGAAGGAAAAATAATATTTGTGTTACAAGGTTACTGTGAGGATTAAATGAATTAAAATGTAAAACACTTAGATTGATACCTGATCAATATAAATGTTAAGCTAATCTTGTTACTCTAGAAAAACTAATTTCAATGTAAAAAAAAAAAAAAGGTTAAACAGGGTTTAGGCAAATAGAGAAGTGTTTTTAAAGTTTCAAGTCAAACAAATGTGGGTACTGAGAAAGCATACTGTTGAAGTCTCTGTTTATAAAGTATGTTGGGAGGCATACTTTATAAAACATACTATGTCTTCTTACATCCATATTATCAACCTCAAGCACAAACCAACATTATCTTTCATTTGCATAGAATTATTACATAAGAACATCTACATTCCTCAAAAAAATTCTTCTCAAGTTCAACTGTCAAAATGACCACAACACAATAATTCTGGGTGACTTTACCACAACTCTTTAACCACTGGATAGATCTTCCAAACAAAAGTTAAACAAAGAAACAATAGAACTCAATAATACAATCAGTAATTAGACTTAACAGACATATATTGAATATCTCATCCATCAATGAGTGAATGAATACAGTTTCTTCTCAGCAGCACATGAATCCTTCTCTAAAATATACCATATATCATGTTCAAAGCAACTCTTAGCAAATAAAAAAGTAGAGATACTGCCCTGCATTCTATCAGATCATAATGGAATGAAATTAGAAATCAATGATAAAATAAAAAATAGAAGCTACTCCAACACCTGGAGACTAAATAATATGCTATTCAATGAACAATGAATTACAGAAAACATTAAAAAAAAGATTAAACATTCTTAAGGCTGGTGTTTTAGCTCAGTGGTAGAGCACTTGCCTAGCATGTGTGAGGCACTGGGTTCAATTCTCAACACTATATATAAATAAATTAATTAAACAAAGGTCCACTGACAACTAAAAAAGTATTTTTTAAAAAATTCTTAGAGTTAAATGAGAACACTGATACAACATAGCAAAATTTATGAGAAACTATAAGGCAGTACTAAGAGGAAAGTTCATTGCATGGAGTTCATTCCTTAAAAGTCAACAAATAAATGACCTAACATTATATCTCAAAGGCCTAGAAAAAGAAGAACAAATCAATATCAAAAGCAGTAGAAGACACAAAATAAATAAAACCAGGGCTGAAATCAATGAAACTGAAACAATTGAAAAAATTGACAAAACAAAAGTTGGCTAAATCCTTAGCCATGCTAACAAAGAGAAGGAAAGAAAAAACTTAAATTACTAACATCCTTGGGGCTGGGGATATGGCTCAAGTAGTAGCACGCTCGCCTGGCATGCATGAGGCACTGGGTTTGATCCTCAGCACCATATAAAAATAAAATAAAGATATTGTGTCCACCTAAATCTAAAAAATAAATATTTAAAAAAGATTACTAACATCCTTGATGAAAAAGGAAATATCACAACAGTCACTACAGAAATACAGAAGATAATTAGAAATTATTTTGAAAATTTGTACTCCAATAAAATAGAAAATATCGAAGGCATCAACAAATTTCTAGAGTCATATGATTTGCCCCAAAATGAATCAAGATGATATACACAAGTTAAACAGATCAATGTCAAGAACTGAAACAGAAGACTCCATCAGAAGCCTAACAATCAAGAAAAGCCCAGGACCAGATGGATACACAGCTGAGTTCTACAAGACTTTCAAAGAAGAACTAATACCACTCCTCAAATTATTTCATGAAATAGAAAAGGAGCGAGCACTTCCAAACTAATTCTATGAGGCCCATATCACCTTGATTCCAAAACCAGGCAAAGACACATCAAAGAAAGAAAACTTCAGATCAATATATCTAATGAACATATACACAAAAATTCTCAATAAAATTCTGGCAAATCAAATACAAAAACATCAAAAAGATAGTGCACCATGATCAAATGGGGCTCATCCCCAGGATGGAAGGTTGGTTCAACATAAAGAAATCAATAAATATAATTCATCACATCAACAGACTTAAAGATAAGAATCATATAATAATCTCAGTAGATGAGAAAAAGCATTTAAAAATACAGCACCCCTTTATGTTCAAAACACTAGAAAAATTAGGGATAACAGGAACATATCTCAACATTGTAAAAGCTATCTATGCTAAGCCCCAGGAGAATATCAGTCTAAATGGAGAAAAAAAAAGGAAAGCATCCCCTCTGAAAACTGGGTCTACACAGGGATGCTCTCTTTCACCACTACTATTTAACACAGTTCTTGAAACTCTAGCCAGAGCAATTAGACAGACAAAAGAACTCAAATTATCACTCTTTGCTGACAACATGATTCTATACCTAGATGATCCAAAAAATTCCACCAGAAAACTTCTAAAACTAATAAATGAATTTAGGAAAGCAGCAGAATATAAAATCAACACCCGTAAATCAAAGGTATCCCATGCATCAGTGGCAAATCCACTAAAAAGGAAATGAGGAAAACTACCCCCTTTACAATAGCCTTAAAATAAATAAATAAATAAATAAATAACATACTAGGGAATCAACTAAATGAAAGAGGTGAGTGACCTCTACAATGAAAAGTACAGAACACTAAAGAAAAGAAATTAAAGAATACCCAAGAAGATGGTAGAAAGATCTACCTTGCTCTTGGAAAGACAGAAATAATATTCTCGAAATGACCATACTACCAAAATCATTATACAGATGTAATGCAATTCCAATCAAAATTCCAATGACACTCATCATAGAAATAGAAAAAGCTGTCATGAAATTCATCTGGAAAAATAAGAGAACCAGAATTGCTTAAGAAATCCTTAGAAATAGGAATGAAGCAACTGGCCTCACTATACCAGACCTTAAACTATACTACAGAGCAATAGTAACAAAAAGAGCATGGTATTGGCACCAAAATAGACATGTAGACCAATGGTACAGAACAGAAGACACACAGACAAACAATTATATACAGTTATCTCATATTAGACAAAGGCAACAAAAACATATATTGGAGAAAGAATAACCTCTTCAACAAATGGTGCTGGGAAAACTAGAAATTCATATGCAACAAAATGAAATTAAGTCCCTATCTCTCACCATGCACAAAACTCAATTCAAAGTGGATCAAGGGCCTAGGAATTTAACCAGAGTTTCTGTACCTAATAAAATAAAATGTAGGCTCCAATCTTCATCATGTCAGATTAGGCCCCAATTTCCTTCATAAGACTCTTCTAGTATAAGAATTAAAGTCAAGAATCAATAAATGGGATGGACTCAAACTAAAAAGTTTCTTCTCAGAAAAATAAACAATCTGTGATGTGAGTAGAGAGCCTACATCTTGGGAGCAAATCTTTACCACTCACACATCAGATAGAGCACTAATCTCTAGGATATATAAAAAAACTCAAAAAGGTAAGTATCAAAAAAAAAGAAATAACCCAATCAATAAATGGACCAAGGAACTGAATAGACACTTCTCAGAATAAGATACACTATCAATTAACAAATATATTTTTAAAAGTTCAACATCGCTAGCAATTAGAGAAATGCAAATCAAAACTACTCTAAGATTTCATCTCATTCCAGTCAGAATGGCAGCTATTTAGAAAACAAACAACAATAAGTGTTGGTGAGGATGTGGGGGGAAAGGCACGCTCATTGCTAGTGAGACTACAAATTGGTGCAGGCAATATGGAAAGCAGTATGGAGATTCCTTGGAAAACTGGGGATGGAACAACAATTTGACCCATCTATCCCACCCCTCAGTCTCTATACCCAAAAGACTTAGAAACAGCATACTATAGGGAGACAGCCACATCAATGTTTATAGAAGCACAATTCACAATAGCTAAATTGTGGAATCAACCTAAATGCCCTCAATAGATGAATGGATAAAGAAACTGTGGTATATATACACAATGGAATATTACTCAGCATTAAAAGGAATAAAATCATGTCATTTGCAGGTAAATGCATGGAATTGGAGCACATCATGCTACATTAAGTAAGCCAATCCCAGAAAACCAAAGGCTGAATGTTTTCTCTGATATGTGGCTGCTGATCCATAATGGGGGTTTTGAGG